TGTCAGATGTTCTCCCATGTTAGATGTTCGATATGTGGCATGAAACACGCGTGAGGTTCATTTCATTGGGGAGTAGGGAATTGGGGAGTAGGGAATTGGGGAATAGGGAATTGAGGTGTAAGGAATTGGAAAATAGGGACTTGGAAAGTAGGGAATTGGGGAGTAGGGAATTAGGTGGGGAATAGGGAATTGGGGAGCAGGGAATTGGGGAATAGGGAATTGGGGAGCAGGGAATTGGGGAATAGGGAATTGGGGAGCAGGGAATTGGGGAATAGGGAATTGGGGAGCAGGGAATTGGGGAGTAGGGAATTGGGGAGTAAGGAATTGGGGAATAGGGAATTGGGGATTTGGGAATTTGCAAGCTTGGGAATTGGGGATGTGGGAATTTGGTAGCGTGGGAATTGGGGATTTGGGAATTTGCAAGCTTGGGAATTGGGGCTTTGGGAATTTGCAAGCTTGGGAATTGAGGATTTGGGAATTTGGAAGCTTGGGAATTGGGGATTTGGGAATTTGCAAGGTTGGGAATTGGGATTTGGGAATTTGCAAGCTTGGAAATTGAGGATTTGGGAATTTGGAAGCGTAGGAATTGGGGATATGCGAATTTGGAAGCGTAGGAATTGGGGATATGGGAATTTACAAGCTTGGGAATTGGGGATTTGGGAATTTGGAAGCGTAAGAATTGAGGATATGGGAATTTGCAAGCTTGGGAATTGGAGAGTGGGAAATTGGGGAGCAGGGAATTGGGAAGCAGGGAATTGGGGAGTAGGGAATTGGGGAGCAGGGAATTGGAGAGCAGGGAATTGGGGAGCAAGGAATTGGAGAGCAGGGAATTGGAGAGCAGGGAATTGGGGAGCAGGGGATTGGGAAATAGGGAATTGGGCAATTTTGGCTTTTCAGATTTTTGAAATTTGGAAGCTTGGAATCTTGGGATTTTGGAAGTTTTGAAGCTTGGAATCTTGGGATTTTAGAACTTTTGAAGCTTGGAATCTTAAGATTTTGGGACTTCAGAAATTTTGAAATTGGTAAATTGGGGAATAGAAGAATTGAAAAACTGTGTTATTGGGAATTAAGGAATTGAAAAACTGAAAAATTGAAATTTCTGTACTTTGAAAATTTCAAGTCCCCACCTCAAAATTCACATTAATTGCACTAATAAATGAGCAAAGTACAGCCACATGATTGACAGAAAACTATGATTTTGTTACTCCTAGATGAACAGGAAATGGAGATGTCGATTATCGCACAAATAGAAGATTATCCTACGGTCCATTACGATTCAATCGAATAGAAACAGGAAGTGGTCGGTTTCAGTTACGGTGTTCGATTCGCGATCATTATTTGCAACCCTTGCTTGCAGCGCTTTGCAACGGTATCGCTACTGCATTGCGATACTTCGATGTATCTCTCTCGAAATCGTTTATTCAATTTATTTCAAGTTATATTGCGCAATCTTGCTTATTTGTTTACAATCGCGTCGTTGATTTTGATTGCAATTGTGCAGACTCTTCATTTGTAAATTTAATTGCTATTAAATAAACTTTTTTTTCGTAAATTTGGTTTATGAAAAGTTTACATGGTTAGGCGATTTTGTTTGGATGTTTCTGTAGATTCTTTATTTTAGGGAATTTATCAATTTTATAAGACTTAGGGGATTTATAAATTTTATCTAAGTTGATGGCGAATGTTTTGCAATTTTGAGATTTTGGATTTTAGAATTTGAGAATTTTGGGGCATTAGAAATTTCATTCAAGCTAAACAACCAATAACCAGAGTCATAAATGTATAATTAACTTGCAAAAAATCGAAGCTCATTCAACAGAATTAAGCGTATGAAAGATTCTACCATAGTCAACCATGAGAGATAATCTCGAAACGATTCGAATCTGACCATCCCTCGCACCATCTATTACACAAACTACTCTCTCTTTCTCTCTCTCTCTTTCTTGTTTTTTCCGGTCGTCACGGTGCACCGACTTTTGCCTTCGCGAACGTGCGCACACCTGTACATCTACACACACGATCTCCGCTCACGAGTACATCGCACACATATGTCCATCCATACACACATATGTACATCTACACACACATACGTACATATCCACAGACACGCACGTGTACCTCTTCACACACATACAGACACATTTGTTCCTTTACACACACAGACACACGCGTTCCTTTACACATACCATGTAGATACACACATGTGGTACACACGTGACGGTACAAGAGCGCATTATGCGCTCGCATGAACGTGTAGGCGAGAAACGTGACCCACCTGTGCGTACACGCACGTGGAACACAAACGAGCGGATTCACGGTGAAAGTATCGATATCCACACGGAATCGGAGCTGCGGGAATGCACAACCAGCAGAGTTAATTCCTGTCCGGTGTGCAGTCAGTTCACCGAACCTCGACTCATCCTGTTCAGACTTCATACCGAACAGGGACATTGTAAACTGAGAACTTTGGACTTACTTGTCGAATAACACTTTGTCGATGAACAAAGGATCGTAATTAATCATGCCAGCGCACGGACTGTAACTAAGTTCGAGTCTAACTGAGATCGGTGGGTTATCGATTTTCATACAAGTTTTATCGATGAATTTACGATGTTAGGAATTTTCGAACTTCTTTGATACGTGGAAGTTTGGGAAACTTGGATGAAACTTGGAAACCTTGAGACTCAGATTTTAGAATGTTCAAATGTATACAAAAGATGTGAGGGATAAAAATTAAATTGTCGAGTAATGATTGAAACATGAATAGTAAAATTGATGATCAAAGCAAAGGGAATATTGCTTCCTTCATGTTCATTTGCAAGCTTGGGAATTGGAGAGTGGGATATTGGGGAGCAGGGTATTGGGAAGCACGGAATTGGGGAGCAGGGAATTGGGGAATAGGGAATTGGGGAGCAGGGAATTGGGGAATAGGGAATTGGGGAATAGGGAATTGGGGAGCAAGGAATTGGGGAATAGGGAATTGGGGAGCAGGGAATTGGAGAGCAGGGAATTGGAGAGCAGAGAATTGGGGAGCAGGGAATTGGGAAGCAAGGAATTGGGGAGCAGGGAATTGGGGAGCAGGGAATTGGGGAATAGGGAATTGGGGAATAGGGAATTGGGGAATAGGGAATTGGGGAGCAGGGATTTGGAGAGCAGGGAATTGGGAAGCAAGGAATTGGGGAGCAGGGAATTGGGGAGCAGGGAATTGGGGAATAGGGAATTGGGGAATAGGGAATTGGGGAATAGGGAATTGGGGAGCAGGGAATTGGGCAATTTTGGCTTTTGAGATTTCTGAAATTTGGAAGCTTGGAATCTTGGAATTTTGGAAGTTTTGAAGCTTGGAATCTTGGGATTTTGGAACTTTTGAAGCTTGGAATCTTAAGATTTTGGGACTTCAGAAATTTTGGAATTGGTAAATTGGGGAAAATGAAATCAAACAATAAATTACCGAAACATCGGTAGGATAGTTAAAATTGATAGCCAAACGGAATATTGCTCCACGGTCGATTATGGAGACTGAGCGCACAGTTATCGATGATATTCCAGCAGCTGGAATCATAACCGGCAATAGATGAAGGAAACTGGAACGTTCAACGGTAAAACTCGTGAACGTGTTACTCTTTCTCGCTGGAAAAATGAACGGGAAATAGAGAAAGAGGGAAGGAAGGAAGGTTGCTTGCTATTATCCATGAAAAAGGGGAATCCATCAAACTTCGGGGCCACGAGGTGTTTTTAGATCGAAGAAGCTTACTTAAAGCGCTCTCCTTTCACGGAGAAAGCTTCCAGTATATCAAACAACGATGCAAATTCCGGAAAAGCTTTCGTTCACTTCTCGTTTGAATTACCTGGGACTCTTGTTTCTTAGCTTTATCGAAATCGATCAAACTGAAAAATCTTATCTAACAGAATTTCATAAAGTAGCATATATATCAATTTCAAGTTTTTCTTTTACTTAGAGAGATTATGTAGGTACTTTATTAAAATTTTTAGTATGAAATGGCTGTTTGTCAAATACACTAAATGTTCAGTTTTTAAATAAGCATGTCAGCCTAACAGAAATTGATGACAGAAAAGTATCACAAAATAGCAGTTATGATACATCAATTTAAACCTTGAAGTTCATTTAAAATAACTGTATAAAAATTTCATCGATAAGTTGAACACAAAATGGCTGCTTATGAATTATAACAAATGGCGCCCTAGACTATTGCATATGAAATGTTTTCAAATTTGAAACCATACAAAATCTTTATATAATTTGATGACAGAAAAGTATCACAAAATGGCAGTTATGATACATCAATTTAAACCTTGAAGTTCATTTAAAATAACTGTATAAAAATTTCATCGATAAGTTGAACACAAAATGGCTGCTTATGAATTATAACAAATGGCGCCCTAGACTATTGCATATGAAATGTTTTCAAATTTTAGACCAGTAAAAATCTGTATATGATTTGATGACATAAAAGTATCACAAAATGGCAGTTATGATACACTAATTTGAACCTTGAAGTTCATTTAAAATAACTGTATAAAAATTTCATCGATAAGTTGAACACAAAATGGCTGCTTATGAATTATAACAAATGGCGTCCTAGACTATTGCATATGAAATGTTTTCAAATTTGAAACCATACAAAATCTGTATATAATTTGATGACAGAAAAGTATAAAATAGCATTTATGGCACACCAACTTGAAGCTTAAGATTCAATAAAAATACATAAACATTTGACTAGAATTTCTAATCTTGCCAGAAGTTGAACCTTGAATCTTGAGTTGAACCTTGACGTTCAGACCTAAAATCAAATTTGACAATAAAATTTAATTTGATGTAATATAATTTCAGATCGCAGTAATACTCGACTTTCTAAATTATTTACCGTTGAGTAATGCAACTAGATTGTGATTTAAAACGGTTACGCAATTTACGGTGATAAGTTGTTGACGAGTGTAGATGGAGATACTAAGCACCTTGTATTTGTGCTATATTACAGCACCTTACGAGGGTGGAATATGGAAGGTGAGGGTTCACTTGCCCGAGCACTACCCCTTCAAATCTCCTTCGATCGGTTTTATGAACAAGGTGTACCACCCTAACATTGACGAAGTCTCTGGCACGGTGTGTCTAGACGTAATAAACCAGGCCTGGACTGCCCTTTACGGTACGTATTTAAGTTTTTCTCCATAAAATTTCGTAAACCTGCGTCAAAACGATCGATCCACACTGTTTTATTTCTCTCGAGTTTCATACTAAATTTGATGGATTTTGTTTCAAAAACAGACTTCCGTTTCCCTCTAGTTTCATGGAAAAGAGTTTCTCTTCAGTTTCATAGAAAATTTGATTCAATTTGCTTGCCTTCAGTTTTGTTAAAGACTTATTTTGTTCTTTGTTAATTTTATGAAAAATTCAGACGCGTTTTGCCTCTTTTATATGTCAATCATATTTTTCCTCTTAGTTTTACGAAAAAGACAATTTTTTTTCATATAAAATATTACTAATATAATTAACTATTGCTATTATAATAACGGTATTCCTTTTTATGGGATGTTTCAGATTTATCGAATATTTTCGAGTCTTTCCTACCCCAATTGTTAACATATCCTAATCCAATTGACCCTTTAAATGGCGACGCCGCGGCCATGTATCTACACAAACCTGAGGAGTACAAGAAGAAGGTAGCAGGTGAGTATACGATCCAATTAAACGTTAGTCCCGTCCTCTTTTCATTTCTTTATTAATCCTTTGCGGTCTACGTAATTCCATATATTACTAATCCCAAATTGCTAAGTCCCCTAATTCCCAAATATCCAAACTTGTAAATCCATAACCCAACGTTAAAATATCCAAATTGGCTTTGCAACTATACAAGTTATGTGTAATTTCGAAAGTCAGCAGACATAAAAATCAGCATATGTTGAAATCCTCGAACCATTTCCCCAAAGAAAGCCTACATTCCCGAGCGTTCACGTACCGCAAAAGGATTAATAAGTCGGCGACGAAGTGTAAATTGCCATATGTTCGATCTAGGCTATTTCCACTTAGAATATCCTGGTATTAGTTTAGCTGCAATATCCTTGTTGATCTGTTGGACAGATTACGTGAGGAAATACGCGACGGAGGAGGCGCTAAGGGACCAGGAGAACGGCGGTACCGAAAACGGTGTGTCGTCCGACAGCGAGTCTTCGATGAGCGATTTCAGCGAGGACGAAGCACAGGACATGGAGTTGTAACCAAATATTTTACCATCCGTACCCATATCCTTAATCTCGATTCCCTGTAAACACTCCGATCGCTCGTCCTACCAAATAGATGCTTACATTCGAACCACCAGACAGACATCACTGTCGGTTTAGCCAACATGGCACACTCGTCACTTCGTTTCCTAGGGAACACGTTTGAACTGCGACCAGATTGTTGTTAAATTATTATCCGGCAGGTAAACGAAACAAGAAGGAAGCGTTAGAGAAAAAGAAAAGTACAGTAAAAGTCGATGAGAGAAAAAAAAGTAACATAATCGCTTTTGGAGTTCTCTTTTAAAAGGGAGACGCAACAACGTCGCGTTGTTTTTACCGATCGAGAGAGGATTTTTTCTTTTCTTTTTGTTCCCCATGGGGTCAGTTTGTCTAAAATCGATCAATGGTCGTGAACAATCGTTCATGTCTCGTGATTGACCACGCGATTGCTCTTTTTTTTTGTTTATTATTTTTTAGTTGGTTGTACCCTCCTCGTTTCGGGTTTCTCTTCCTTTCTAACCGATATGTTTGCGTACACGGTCAGACAGACCGTGCATAGAGGTTAACGTTGCACGAACACGAAGGAAAGTTGTTGATTTCGTTTACCGACGATTTGTATCTCTTACGGTTGTTGCAACTCGTGTTACGTTGTGTTTTAGCGAGCTTTGTTGTTCGTACACGCTGCGAGAATAATTCGCGGGGTGAGCAGGGTGTTCGAGTACGTCAACATTTTAGGGGATGTAAAAAGACACCTTCTCTGTCGTATATTGTTTTAGTTTGAATTAAAATTTAGCTTAGGATTAAGAAACAGGTTTAACCCTTGAAATCATGAGTACAATTTCACCTCAACGATTATGCAGAACAGTTATTTGCAATCACGTTTATTTTTCTGGCGTTGCGTGAAAGTTTGTAATTAATGGAATATTTAAATTATGTTATCCATTGTTTAATATCAAACCATGTGTACTATTATTTAATATCAAATTAATAGCATGGCGGTTAATAGGCTTTTACCGTTATCGTTCACTTTTAAAACAGAAACAAGACCGGGGTGAATTTTCATGCATGATATCAACGTTTAATTATAGTCTCCGTGGCGATTATAGACTTTTAAGGGTTAAAACTGAAATTTAGTTAACTTAAGATTATAAGGATTGTACGTAGTAACTCAAGCTCTATGGATGATATTTTTAAATAAAAATTTGTGTTCTTAACGACAAAAATTATAAGCTACTGCACCTTTTCTGGATTATGGGGTTGCTCTGAAAATTTTTTAAAACGTTGTTGATATAATTATTTCAAAATTTACTTAATAAAATCTAAATGCCAAATAAAATTTATAAAGACAGTAGATACAATAATGTTTAACCCTTGTTGCAAATGAACGATATAAAATTTTGTATGTTAAATAACATTTTTGTATGTAAAATGAAATGAAGATGTTTATGTGTAGTGCTATTATATCAACGTTATTATGTAAAACTGATTAAAAATGATTACATTGAAAAAATCACTTTTTGAAAAAATATTAAATGACACCTCTTTGTATTTCCACTTGTGTGAATAAATTTTAAAACCAGACCTTTTAAATACATATTAGAAAATCTCTTGTAAAATTGAAGACATGCAACAAAGGGTTAAATGTTTCCAGTAAATCATCAATAATGCATGCAATTACTAACAATGGTATTTACACGCGCTGTAAAATTAATTCTCAAATTGTAATTACTCTACAAGCTAGAAACTAAGAAAATAATAATTGTATGAAAGTTAAAATACCATCCTAATTTTACCGCCACTCAGAATTCTTTTACACTGTCGCTAAAAATGTTCGCAATTAAAATTGTCAGAGCCTACGGCAGCGAAGGTGTCAACCCTAATTTTAACGAATAACTTCAACGATACCGTCAACACCCTGTGATCATTTAGCAATTATTATTCTCGCACGTTACGAAAATTCATTTCCGCTGTAGAGTAACGACTCTTTTGTTGCTTTCACGAAACTATTTTTCACGATCGCAATTCTCGACGATGAGAAAAGAAACAGATGCTGAAAGCCAAGGTGCAGGCGATGACACCCTTCGATCATCGATATCTCTTTTTCTTTTTCCGTTGTCGATTACCTCTCTCTATACGTTTGATTTCCGTCGAAGAGAAAAGAAAGCGAACTAAGAGAAAAAAGAAAAAAAAAAAGAATTTGGAAAATGGGTACTAGGTCCATCTTCCTTGTCATTGTTCTGTCATCACCATCCCTAAACGTTTCCCTCGTAGGGCGGAGCAGCCGGGACAGGCTTCGACGACAGTGTTGAAGACACTAACAAGCCTACGTTATAAACGGCGTTTAAGTAACGATGTTAATGTCGGATTGTCCCAACCGCAGTTGAAATCTGCACGCTCAACGATGATTCTCGAGAGAAGAGAAACGATCGACGAAGACCGGTGTCGATTCGAAGCGTCCAGCATGGCCTTCTGTAGCGAAACTGACGCGAACACCTCGAATCCTTCGCGTATTATTGGACGATCACGAGAGGACGAAGAAGCCTCGGCCACGCCGGAAGTGCACCAGTATTCGGATATGGACGTAGACTCGATTAACTCGCCGGCCGGAAGTAGAAGCGGCAATTTGGATAGCGGCACAGTCTGATACGGTGATGATGGACTCTGTTTGGAGAGCGCGGTGCAGCGACGTGCGTGTGGGCTGCAGTCGTGGACAGTGATCGGTAGCCTATTTTTCACTTCGAACATTTGGAAATTTGAAATTTTTAGTTTATTGGATTTTTAGGGCTCTCAATTTCTGTATATTTTTTTGATTTTACGACTTCTGGTACGATTCCTTTCAATTTGTAAATTTCCATGCTTTGAGAATTTAAGTTTTACTAAATGAATTTATGAGGTTTGTGAATTTTGGTAATTTTACTTTGTGAATTTACTTTATTTGATTTCTGGGTTTACTGGTTTTTGAATTTTTGAAATTTTAAGCTTGTGAATTGTTAGTCATGAATTTTTTAATTTGGGTGCTTGAAAATTTGCAGATTTTTACATTTGTATATCTTAAAATTATTAAAGTTAGTAAAGTTATGAGTAGATTTCTACATTTTTGGATTTCTAAATTATTTAGCTAGTAAATTTCTGAATTTTGAAATTATTGGATTTCAGGAGTTTAAAATTTCTGTATTTCTAAATTTGTAAATTATTAAATTTCTAAATTTTCAAATTTCCAAATTTCTGTATTAATAAATTTCCATATAAGAGGTTTCCAAATTAGCAAATTTCTCTATTTCTAAATTACAAGATTTCAATATTTGTAAATTACAAGATTTTTATATTTGTAAATTACAAGATTTTTATATTTCTAAATTTTCAAATGTTCAAATTACTATATTTCTAAAATTTCCTAATGATTTCCAAAGGACCACATTTCTAAATACATGTACTTGCAACTTTGCAAGCTTAAAAGTTTTTAATTTTGAAAATTTATAAATTTGAAATTCTTGTATTTCTATCTGCCTTCAATTTCCAAATTTTTACATTTTATTCCTATATTTTCTATCTTTCTACCTTTTTATATTTATATATTTCTGTGTATTTCTAAATTTCCAAATTACCAAATTTGAAGGTGTTCAATTTTTAAACTTTAAATTTCTTTACTTGAAAATTTTGTATTTGAAAACTTGAAATTTCTGTACTTGAATATGTGAAAATCTTGTACTTGAAAATTTTATATTTGAAAATTTGAAAATTCTATACTTGAAAACTTGAAAATTCTATACTTGAAAATTTGAAATTTCTGTACTTGAAAATTTGAAAATTCTGTACTTGAAAAATTGAAATTTCTGTACTTGAAAATTCCATATTTGAAAATTTGAAAATTCCATACTTAAAAACTTGAAAATTCTGCACTGGAAAACTTGAAAATTCTTTACTTGAAAACTTGAAATTTCCACCTCTAAAAATTTGAAATTTCCACCCTCAAAAATTTGAAAATTTGGAATTTCTATGTTTCTAATCTAACTAAATTCCCAAATAGAGACCCCCCTCCTTAATCACCCCCAATTTCCAAATTTCCAAAAAAAAAAAATTTCAAATTTCCAAATAAACTTCTCAAAAATTTCCAAATTTTCAATTGACCAAATTTCTGACTTTAAAATCTCAGGACTGGGAAGAAGGATTCTCGGTATTCGTCTAGCCTACACGTCATCGCTGCACGCCCCGTGCACGTCGTTGCCCCGTGAGCTCTTCGTCGGGCACGTTTACTGCCCAAACACCGGTCCAATCACTGGTCAAACACCGATCGTCGCGAATATCTCCTGGTGAAGTCTCTTTATATATATACATATATTTTATTATACGTGTCTGATTTAGAACGGCGATTATTGTTTGTACAGTTGTATGCGTTTTTTCTCCCCATCCCCATCGCTCCTTCATTTATTCCAAATTTTTATTCAAAAGAAAAAACAAACCAACAGTGCGTTGTTACTTGTAAAGAGGATATTTTTATTCTAGCGTGTTTTAGTTCTTTTTTTCTTTTCCATTTAAACTAAGATTTTTATATGATCCAAACACTCCGTTTGTTTTTTTTCTCTCTCTTTTAGAAGTTTATAAACATTTATTTTTGACGCGTTCGCGCGGCAACATATCATGTGTTTTATGGAGTTTTGGATCGAAAGAGGCATAGAATTTCGAGGAATAAGATGGAATGCGTCGAACGAGATAGATGAGAATTTGTACAAAATCTTGGTGCACAATAATCTTCGTTTAGTCGTAACTTGTTTCGAATTGATCTCTCTCCTTTTTGCGTGGTTCATGGTGTATAAAATACGATCTATAAGCGTAGAACATGGTATTTTAGTGCCTTTCCAGGCAGAAAATTGTGCCTTATTACGTGGGTTTCCATAGGAAGACAAAAATCTCTTATTGGTAAATGCATCGACGAAAATCAGTCGATTTTCAATATTAATTTTCGAGTGTCAATTGATGCGTGCTTTCTTTATTTCCAAACAAATTTTATTTACTGTAAGTGGCACATTTAATGTGTAAACGTGGGTCTTTCAAAATTTGTGTAACATTTTTAAACATCACATCACAAAGTGTTTAGCTTTTATTAAATATAATTATATAAACTTGCAAGCGTTACTGTGATTAACAAATTTTTCAGAGGATAAACGAAAATTGATAAATTTATTTCTGAATTTTTATAAAAATTAGTTGCTTAAATTTTTAGAGTGAAATGTGTTCATTACTTGATTTTCTTAAATTTATTGAATTATTTGTGCAAAATATTAATTGTACAAAAGATCCATGTTTTCATGTTAAATCTTTGATGTTTTAAAAAATTTGAAAAGGTTTAATCTGAGACTTAAAATTATTTTTAAAATGATCACTATCTTACAGTAGGTTCACTTATATTTTAACGAATAAATTTATTATTATGATTCGTATGGACGTGACTATCGTATTTTTGTCTATAATAAAATTTTGCAATGTTCTGTTTTTTACGGTTTCGTTTTTGAGGAATACTGATTTGGTTATTTTTCTTAGTGACAATTTCTGGAGGAAGTAATATGAAGGAAGCGGGACTTTTTTGTGATTTAGCAATTTTAGAAATTTTGTGGGGAAATTGGAGAATTAGAAAATTTGGGGATTTTGGGATTTGGGGATTTAGGAATTTAGATATTTGAAAATTTGGGGATTTAGGAATTTGGGAATATTAAAATTTGGGGTTTAGGAATTTGAAAAATTGAAGGTTTGGAAATTTAGGAATTGGGGAATTTGAGAATTTGGGGATTTAGGAATTTGGAAATTTGGAATTTTGGAATTGGTAAATTGGGGAGCAGGGAATTGGGGAGCAGGGAATTGAGGAGCAGGGAATTGGGGAACAGGGAATTAGGGAGCAGAGAATTGGGGGTTTAGGAATTTGGGAATTAAGAAATTTGGAAAATTGGGAATTTGGGAATTTGGAAATTTGGAAATTTGGGGATTTAGGAATTTGGAAGTTTGGAATTGGTAAATTGAGGAATAGGGAATTGGAGAGCAGGGAATTAGGGAGCAGGGAATTGGGGAGCAGGGAATTGAGGAGCAGGGAATTGGGGGACAGGGAATTAGGGAGCAGGGAATTGGGAGTTTTGGAATTTGGGAATTAAGAAATTTGGAAAATTGGGAATTTGGAAATTTGGAAGTTTGGGAATTTGGAAATTTGAGAATTTGAAACTTCAGAAATTTAGAAACCTTGAAATTTATAAACTATCATAAATTCTAAAAACTAAAAAATTGTAATAAATATAAAAACAGTATGAACATAAAAATTTGAAAATATATGAATTTTTATGTACACGTAAAAATCTTCAAAATGTAAAAGCTTCCTAAGTTCGTGAAAGTAGGTCACCATCGACCTCCTCCATTCAAGATTTAATTGAATTCCTAAATTCGATAGTTGCGTCCACATTTTACTCGTCGACTATTTTTCTCTCCTACTTTAAGTAATAATAAAAATTCGAAATTGTCCGCAATAACCTAATAATAACACGTGCTTTCATAGTATAATTTCATTAGTACGGTGGTCTCCACCCGTAAAATGTATAGTATTGTACAATTAACTAGTTAGAAAGATTAAAACGGAATAAAACCAATATGGCGTTTGTTTTTCGACGTTGTCTCTCAGGCTTTATAACATCGTATTGTAAATTCTTCTCGCAATATCTCTTTTATATTAAAATAAAGCTCTTACTCGAAAATCGCGTTTTACGTTTCAAAACACGATAAAAAAAAAAGAAAGCAAAAGTTATTTAGAAAATTGTGTAACTCTTAATACATAGCTCGTAGCAATTTCTTTTAGCCTATATCTGTATCTCTTCATAGAATATTCTTCGAAGTAAGTTGATGTAGTAGCTTTAATTACGTTCTCATTAGCATCGTTTCTTCGTTAATTGAGAAAACCAAAATGGACAGCGAGAGAGAGAGTGAGCGCGAGAGTGTGACAGAGAGAAAGAATGAGAGAATGAGAGGTAAAAGAAGAAAAAAGAAAAATTCAAAGAAGAAAAGAATTTGCGTTTCTCGTTGATTACAGTGATCGAGGCAAAGTCGTATTCACAGATCTCACGTTATTACTTTTTTATGTATGTAACATAAGATTATGAACGAATTATATGTTATTATTGATCTTATCCGCACAACGCTATTATGTATATGGTTTTTACTAACCGAACTTTGTTTAACCAATTCAAAGGATAGTTTTAATAATCATTTTTTATTTTTTTTGCAAATGTTGTTTGTCTCCCCTTATGTTTATTTCGACTCTGTTCCAACGAGCTATTTATCCTGCAGATTTATAGTTGATCTCGATTTTTATATTTTTTAATTCTTCGATAGATTCTATTAAATAAAATTTTTGTTTAATGTAGCAGACATTTTATTGTCATCAGTACATAACAGTAGACTCTCGTTATATGGCCGCATTTATAGCATTGAAATCCTTAGTAAAATACCTGACATTGAAATCTTCTACAAATCTGCAAAATTAAAATTAAACTGTTCCGATTATAAAATACCCTCTTAAGTTTATAGAATAATTTGTCTTATCCTTGTTAATTATTTTTATTAACGTTATCGAATAATTTTGTAAATTTTTTATGTATCAGATTTGTTCTTCGATTGTATCTAATAACCAGTTTATTCGTTCCACGAACACTTGAATGTTTCAGAAATTTCGAAGTACTACACCGATACAGCTTTTCAGGAACAAGGAGCTATAGAAATAGAACAGTGATACTGTTTATCATAGTTCGATAGCGTCTCGTGAAAACGCAAGAAGAATATTAGTGTACAAAGAAGTCGATGGTGCAAAAAATGGCGGGAAGTGTATTCCAAATTGGCGGGAAAACCTGTGCGTTTGAAATTTCGCGGGAAAACCCGTATCTCAAATCTCGTGAAAACTCAAGAAAGTATTAAATATAATAATACAAAGGAGTCGTTATCTACGATTATCGATGATGATGGATTGATCGAAAGCTTTCATTTTTTTTTTCTTTTGACAGCATCTCGGATATTTGAAATTTTAGGAATGCAAAGGAGTCGTTACCTACGATTGTGACGATTTTCGAAGTTGGTGCAATGTCGGTTTAGAATGATAGGGTCATTTGAGAATTTGGGGATGGAAATTTCGGAAATTTAATTTGGGAATTTTGGTGATTGGGCTTTTTGAAATTGGGGGGTTTGCAGAGTTGGAAATTTGCAGATTTGGGTTTTCAGGAAAATTAAGAAATTTGAGAAGTTTGAGAAATTTGAGAAATTTGAAAAAATCAGAAATTGGGTTCTTAGAAAATTGATAACTCAGAAATTCCACAATTTCAATCCACTTTAAAATTAATATTAAATCCATAAATTTATAGCTTCGAAAATTTCTAAATTTCTAACAACCCTTATTTCGAGACGTTCCCAAACACAGTTAAATTTAAAAGTAAAAATTCGCGAATAAAAATTGCGTAAGTATAAATGCAAAATCGTGGGACAACTCCAAAAGCTATCAGTGACGAGCCATGCCATTCGTTGCCAAATGTTCACGGTCAAAGGAACACTTGTTCCCTGACTAACCGGGCCACTCGTTAAATTTCTTTCCACGAAACAATTTTCACAATTTCTGAAGAAAAATGTTTGCGTCTTCGGAGCAAGAATAATCTAAAAATTTTCCGAATTTCAATGATTCGCACAAAAATCCGTAAATCCGAGTGCAAAAGAATGATGTTCGATTATTGTTGCTCCGTCATCGAGACACAGGCATAGTTTGCTTTCAATGAATTTCTGTTGCGAAATTATTCGAGCGATTAATTCCCACCTTCGGATAAATTTTTCATCGAGATAAGGAAATAGCAATATTTTTGCTACTCGTTCGTAATACTATTATCATCGATGTTATCTAAAAAAAAAGAGAGAAAAAAAAAACTAAGAAAATATGTTAAACGACGATGCCAACGTACGCATCCGCAATAATGGTTGATTAAAGCTATACAATGATGATCTTAAATCGTTATCGTCCGATCGTTGATGATCGATGCTAGTTTTTACACAAAATACCCAAACAACAACGATGCTATTACGTTAACGGAGAATATATTAGATTCGATTCCTCCAATCGACGCTTTCGTTTGATTTTTTTTCGTAAATCTAGTCTGGTAGGACTCGACGATGCATTCTCGCGTTGTTCTTAAGTTTTAAGGTTAAGAACGATCGTGTACGAATTTCTAATGAATATCGAACTTGTTGTAAACGTGTATTTGTCGATACTTTGTGTCTATTTAATTGTGACAAATTGTTAAGCACAAACATTGCATTTTTATCGTTAACACCTTACCAACCGAACAACATTTTGATCTCAAATTAATCAATAAGAAATTAACAATAAGATTTTAAATTTAAAAAAGTATTTTAAATTTCCCGCCATTTACGGTTGTGAACTTTGTATCGAAAAAGAAACGTCCCCCAATCTTACAATTACAAATAATCTTTTAATACATTATTTAAAACAGTACAAATACTTTTTCATTAATCGCTCAAGAAATATTATTAAAGTCAGTATGAATCGTGACATAAAGGGGCACAGTACAATGTATAACACATCTTTTAACAATGTTTAATTACAGTCATAGGCGGTAGATAAGGTGTTAAAAGAAAACCATAATGCAAACTCGATATTCATTAACCGTAACGCAAAGACCACCGAACCACGTACACATGTTCGATACAACAACGTTATGTGTTAAATGTTTCAGCATAGATATAACGCAAAGTTTCTTATTTTCTATCGTGAGAGTGTTGTACTTATTATCAAAAAAAGGACGACCACAAATGGACGCCGTCTTGTTATCAAAATAATTCAGTTCTCGCGAGAGAATTAAGTTAAAAAGAAACGAGAGGAAGTATATTCTCCAAGTGTGCGCCTGAAACATTGAAGTAGTAACGTTAATTGATATTTTGAGATTTGTAAGCGAGGTAGATACGGATGCGAAGTTGAAGAACATCCTATCCAATTTGTCTGTGAGCCGATTGCAAATAGTTGTGTAATTAAATGCAATTAAATATATATATATATATGTGATGAACGATCAAGTGGAAGGTGATGCACAATAATGGATTTACATAAAAAATGAAACGAAGGAAAGATATTTTGTTTTAAGTATTTTTAACCTGCAGACGATAGATCCGTATTTTGGCTATTTCACAAATTTTAGATTTCTTTTAGAAATTGGTTTATTGGTTCTATCGTCTGAAGGTTAATCCTCGGTTGAGTGAAAAGAACACGCTTTATTCGCTATTTTCACGGTCGTCCAAAATTTGATCAACCAGCTCGACGAAGAGGTTAAGTAGGTCGAGTTGGGTGTGGCTTAAACCTTCTGGGCTGTTCACGAGATTACCCTCGTGGCTGCGGTTTTATTGCTTCAGAAATCAAATATCAAATCATTACCAATGCAAATTAAATTGCACTTTGTTTACTATAGAATTTTAAGGAACTTTAAAGTTGGTCATTTTTTAAATTATGAAAATTTCATACAATCTTTTAAGTACACATTGTTTCGACATGTTCACATTTTGTGTTGACATAAGATCTTACGTGTCAATTATCCAAAAACTTCAAATTCCAAGATCTCAGAGATCCACATTTCTAATTTTGATCTGAGTTTTCAATTTTAATGTACATTTCTAACATCCCTGAAAAATTCATAAACCCCAAAGTTCTAAATTTTCATGAACATGAAAATGTTCACACAACTGAGAATCCCTGTCGAAACTTATCTCGAAAGCTAAGTATGTCCAAAATGCCCAGGGCGCTCGCAGACGGTCCTCAGGTACACGTCAATAGCAAGTACTCTCGATACATAGCATATAACGTTAGACTACCATATAAGATGCTGAAACATACAACCGGGAAAAAGAACACGATTTAACTCTGCAGTAAGCCCTTGTAGTAATCATAGCTGGAAATCGAATTCTTAATCCAACGTGTGTTCAGTTCAATTTTTCACAATGTAATCGACCATGTGAAACAGTCGTAATACAATCATTGAATGATTGCACGAGTACTGCAGGGTTTACGGGGAATCGAGATACTCGTTAAAAGTCAAAGTTAAGCTTTATCAGAGAGTAAGAGAGATTAGTTAAAAAAAAGAATAAGTGAAACGAGAAGGAACGTAGCGAGAAGACATTCGGAATGCTTATTAAGAATTTGCGCAATGATACAATGGCTCACATTTAGCAAACACGATGTTGTTCTCGGAGCTGTGTCTACGTTCTACGTACAATCGTGATGATCGAATTATTGGTGTCCGTAGAGGGTATATATATTTTCTTATTGTATAATTAGCTCCGCTGCTTTGACACGTTAAGGCCTTAGTACATTAAAATCAGTTACGTTGCATCGCGATACATTTGTACACCGGAAATAAACGAGGTTTACATTGACCGATCGAACGGTGATCGACGAGAAACAAATATGGATCCAACTCAGCGAATTGTTCCGAAATGTGTCAATATGCAATTGCGAAGAAATCGGAGATACGTTCCTCGTTTGAATTCTAATTCGAACTGATTTAAGGGAACTAGAGCCTTAAGCTAGTTGTAAAATTTTCCTTAGGTACCTATTGTTTTAATGTATGAATTGTCTATGTCTGAATGTTCGCATCGTTCAAAATACCGGAAGCTACAAAACACAAACCAAAAAAACAAGCGAACGAAACGTTTTTCTGCGAGACACGAGAAGCGTTCTCGTGAATACAATTTTCGATCGACAAACGAAAAGACAAAACATAAAAAGTACGCAACGATGCGGCGTGCTTCTGTTAATATATCTCATGAATTTATTAAAAATCACAAAATGTCTTTCTAGATAGTATAGTGACGGTAATTAAGAACTTGCTGATTCCACGTTCTCATGGCTCATGGCGACACAATAAAAGAATAACGATGAACACTACACTATTACAAAATATTTATTATAAATAAGATATAACAAATATAAAGGATAAATATATTATATTGAATTAATAATGATTGAATGAGATGAAATTTTTTGGTACAATAAAATGAAAAGATTAACGTTGTTGAGATTATTATCCCCTGTCCATTTTGGTCCCAAGACTTTCCTTATATATTAAAAAATTACATACAAAAAACATAAAAATAATAGTTTATTATAAAGTAACTAATCTGTGAAGTTAAAAGTGTTTTGTAAACTTAAACGTTCTATGCATTTCAACATTTACATTAAAACGTTTAAATTGCGCGCGCTTTTATCGAACAGAATATCATTGGCGCTATTTAGCTGTCAAACAGGAAACCGAAACAAAACTTATGTTTTTTTATGAAATAAAACTACAGTAAAATTGAAGTTCTACATTCGAGAATTTAAAAAAAAGTGCATTTCATCTTAGCCATCTAGCGGTGGAAGATGAGAACTAATTAAACTAGTGTTTCAAAAGTGTGTAGTTCACCCTGTTCGCCGGAGAGATGGCGCCACAGGTTCCATTTTTATAAAAAATTAAATTATTATCGATTTTATTGATTAATATGCCATATATTTATTATATATTTGTTAATGTAATCGCATTTATTTATTTCTCAATTGATAGTATCAATAGAAATTAATGGAAGTAAATTTAAAAATCAGAAAACTTGCATTGTGTCATTTATCCCTTCGATAAATGATGGAGTCGTAATTGAAGGGTGGTGGAATTTGAAGTTAGGGTGGGTCACAGTCGTAGCCTAATGTGACCTGGTAATCGATATCGTTTTTTAAATATTTTTCACAAAATAAACTTTAGACAACGATATCCAGCTAACAGCTATGATTCACTATTAAATTATAAATTCATTTATTCCACATTTTCCTTTACGAAAATATTTGGACTGGATATATGTACGCTCGCTAAATGTACCATTCGAAGTTCCAAGAATCGTGCATTAAACGCGCGTGGATCAAGTAAGTAGCAAGGTAAAGTAGGGTATGATATGAAATTGATAAAAAATATTTTTTCGAGTCGTCAAAAACTACTCTTACAGATGACAGACTTTTAATAATAAATTTCCTCATTTGTGGAACAAGCTGTGATACTTAATACGTACATTTACATACATTTGAATTGGAATTCCTATGTTTGGATAGCTTTCATTTTAATGTGAACTGATAATGTCGCATGTGACATGGAAATGATAAGGGGATTCTAGTGCCCCCTATATCTCATCTGTGACCAGTACCGTCATTAACGTCATGCAAATGACCAGTGCTTCTGCACTCTCCATTTTTATAAACATTAAACGAATTTATGTATATTTTTGCCGTTCGGTTCCATTACTGACTAGTTGAAAATTATATGGTTTATAATTAGCATTGGATTGCCAGCCATCTTTAAAATCCACTTTTTGCTTATAATTTAGAATGCATACCTGAAAAAGAATGTTGTCGAATAATTTCGTATGTTCATGTCATAATTAATTCAGTATTCTCTGAGGATTACTGTAACACGGTATTTATTAGTATTAATAGAATGTAACACATTTAGGATTCTTTCGCAGGGTTCGCCATTTTTTACATACGGCCCTGTCTGTAGCCATATGTAAACTCGAGCCGATTCGAAGTCGACTCCAGTGCTCCAGTCGTGCCAGAACCACCGAGCGGTGTGGATGTTCGTTATCGCGTGTCCAGTTCCCGAGTATCGTGTATACGTACACGCGATTAGTGATACTTCGTGACCATACCAAGTCACACGTTTGCAGTACTATCTGAACGTCGTGTATATTTTACCAATTCGAACTTCGTAGACGTAAAAAATTCTGTGTACGAAAAGATTGCAGTATCTGTGACACGTATGTACGCGAAGAACTGACGAGGCTATCGCGGACACTTTCGTGTTTTTTCGTAACGTGCATCCGGCGAAGAAGTATCGCGTTTAAATATTTCTGGCCGTTCAAGCAAGTGTCCCGGCATTCTTAAAACCGGTGCGAGACCGCCTCGGAAACGATTTCGATCGGCGACGTGAAGTGCACCGAAAGTGTCGAGGAACGGTACAGGCGGCAAGGACGTGAGTAAACACGTTTCTTTTTTTCTTTTTCTCGACCAATGTCGATGGTACAAAGTACGATGTTTCTCGTACACTTCCCTGGATCATTCATCATCTTACTTCCTTTTTACTAACCTGTTCCATTTTTTGCGCCTTTTAATTCCGTTCCGATCTTCATTACACAAATCGTTCGATAGGTTAGCTCGCGATGGATCGTGAAAAAACGCGGTACCCGATGATCGCCGCGCGAGCCGCGTATCAATTGGTTAAATAGATCTTTTTCTTTCTACCTTCGTAGAACGCGTGCAGCTGTTAAATTATGTGTTTCGATTGTTCTCAATAGGAGCTGTCGTATTTTTATTAGGTATCAGCTGACAGCGTTAGCGCGAGCTTTTTCAACGAACCCGTTTGACGTTAGCCATCGCCAAGTTAATTTCCTTCACGTTCGATCCTCTCGATAGAGGCGACGCGTTATTATTCTGTGTGAGTAGGTCGATTAATCGAATCGTCAGATTTATGCGATCGGCAAAGGATTCCGTTTAACCGATTTCAATCGCGTCTTATTCGGTCTGCTCGATCTCGCGTGTCGCACTAAATACAAACGGGAAAACGATGGAAACGGAACGCCTGAAACGGTTCGGTTCTTCCGTTTCGAGGTGACAATGAATATCGCTGCAATTATCGGATCACAATTAACGAGGATGACAATTGCACGCGTGCGACGTGCCACGATATTTGCATCTCGTTTATCGCGAAAAACGTACGCGTAATTTCCTTAGTAAGGCCAGTGACTTTGTGCACGATTATTATATAGTTTTTTTTTTGCGAATTATTGGGGAAGATGATCGAGCGTATAGAAGTGCGCGCATTGTTACGTCAACGGGACCGGCCCGAAATTTCTATTATTAGTTTTATTTCGTTGCAAAACGGATATATCGCGTTATATGGATCGTGTGCAACGTTCGTTGAGACACACACCCGATAAATCCCAGCAAAGGTTAATGACATCGCGCGGGTGGCAAATCGCTTCCTCTTTTCGAGTTCGATTCGACTGATCCGATATCGATATTGGATAATGTGAATGCGATTTGGCATAGACATCTCTATCGAAACGAACCATTATTTCAATCCATTTTGCCGTGTGTGAAAAGTAGTGTTCGACTTATTTGATTTACGGGTGGGGCGGATTCTCATTTATATAAAATGATAATTAATATTAGCACAATTAATAATAAATATCAGGGATGATTTCACAATAATTTTTTTAACAAAAATAGCTTATATAAAGTGCGTCTTGTCAAAATATATTTCTCAGAAGAAGATTGTAAAAATCGACTGTTTACGAAAATGGGTTTAAGACTTTTGAATTTTAAAACTTCGGGACTTTGAAAAATAATCCAGTGGTCGTAAAAAGTTACCATCTTTGAAGGTTCCCGGGCCATAAAATTTTGAGGAACCGTGCTCTTTTAAGACAAGTGCAACGACCCACCAACCAAAGTCAGGATCATAAACGGACCACGGAAGTATTTCAGAAATGCACCTTGCACTTACGGTTATCTTTCAATAAACATTCAAGACGTAGCTCAGATTTGACATTTCTTTATTGCTCAGATGTTTGAGTTACTTAAAAAATTAAATGTGAAGGAATGTCGTGGGTATTGTATCTTTTTTTAATATAGTTATTATCATGTAACTGAAGACGTTGAATATGTACTCATGTCAGTTTGATAATACCAGCTCGACCCATCTCGAATTTCGATTATTTGAACAGTTCTATTTTCGATACCATTTTATTACGTATTTCCTGTACGACTTTGTACATACAGCAGGTCGTTGTACCTTACCAAGTCAATGTGCAATCAAAAATGATTATTCCTAAGTATCAAGTTGTCCTTGGAATGTCCTTGATATCTTGCTGTGATTTTCTTCCTCAAAATTCCCCGTTCCATTTTTACGCTTGCGCAACGTTCAATTTTCTCGTGATTCAACTGCGTTTGTATATTTAATAATCTACTTCTCTGTTTATTTGCCGTGTGATCGATATACAGGGTGCTCCAAAAAAAGTGTTCTCTTAGGCCGTGAACTTTTAGCCCTTGATAAAATATTTAATACTTTGTTAATATTCGTTCGACGTTGTTTATGCAAAAGCCTTGGAAAAATGAAATTTAATTCACGGGTACAAGACATCTAAACTGCTATTTCGCAGCATATGAAAACTATACCAGTTGTTCTTTGAAACGGGATACTGTCTTTTTGTCGCTGTGCACTAGGCAAATTAAAGCACGCAATTAGTTGGCTCACCTAGATTACTGGGAAGCAGGGGTTAAAGATGCAGCTCGGAATCCGCTTAAATATGATATTTAATGTGCATTCTTCGATGCTTGAAACTGTAGTTCAAGTGTTAATAATGGACGCCTAAAACAGAGGGATGAAACTCATACTTCCTTAATTAAATAACTAATTAATCATTCATTTCTTAATTATAATTATGTTGCTATATTTTATTGTCTACCTTATTTAACTATTAGTATTACTGTGTTATTCTATTGATTTAATGAATGATTACTTTTATTTAAGTCAAGTGTTTGTTTATATTGAATGATTTATTAACTGATTGATAGTATTGCGTTATCGATTGCATGGAATAAAAATTGTAAGACAGGGAAGGTGTATTATCAGTTACATGGTGGATCACATAATATAAATAGCGGAGACACATATGGTGCGTCATTATGAGAAAGGGGAGACGCATAGGGTGCGTCATTGCAAGCATGGAGAAAACGCACATGGTGCGTCATTATGAGATTGGGGAGACGCACAGGGTGCGTCATAGCAAGCATGGAGAAGACGCACATGGTGCGTCATTATGAGATTGGGGAGACGCATAGGGTGCGTCATTATAAGGATAGGGAAGACGCACATGGTGCGTCATTGCAAGGTTGCGAAAACGCACATGGTGTGTCATTATGTGATTGGGGTGACGCATAGAGTGCGTCATTGCAAGGATGGGGAAGACGCACATGGTGCGTCATTATGTGTTTGGGGAAGACGCATAAGATGCGTCATTATGTGTTTGGGGAAGACGCATAAGGTGCGTCATTATACAAATAGAGAAGACGCACACGGTATTTCATAAGAATAGGACGCATATGATGCGTCATTGAAAAATCATGATAAATAAAGTGCTTCATTTTAAAAATATCTATCAGAAAACATAAAGTACATCACAAGTTAACTAAAATGCAATAAATTAATTCGTAATTTCGGTTCCTGATTGCTTTCCTCTCATACCTGACACAAAATTAGTATCACACGTCAATTGTCAATGAAATTGTAATCAGTAGAAACGTAATGGTATCAAAAGGCATATTACCGGTATCATAAATTGCTAGCAAGCTTACAGTTTCAACCGAGTACGCTGATGCATTGGTACGGTTTCATTTAGATTGTATTGCCAGTCAATTGACAATTATTGTTCGATGACTGGGACATCCGATGGGAAAATAAAGGAAACATCTGCGCGACCCCTTTTTTCTTCGCGTTACGTCTCAATAACATACTCTTCTTTTTCTCTTTGCGTCGAGGATTAAAGATCTGTCGGTACAGAAACAAGGTCGTGTCAAATAAAAATTTTTAAATCGTTTCCCTTTTTTATCTGCGACCACTTGAAATTACGTATAATATTCAGTGTACTGTGTTGTTTGATTAATGAATTTTGGACGACGTTTAAATGCATACATGACCTAATTTTGAGTCATACGTATAGAAAGTTGTTTGCACAGTTTTTATTCGGGTACTTTTTTCAATGCATTAACAGTCGTTACACGTTTTAATTAAAAGTTAGTTGCATTTCTGTTCAGCTATTTGTACGTAGAATTGTTGTCATGAAATTAAGATAATAGCACATAAAAATCATATCATAAGTAATATCATAAATGACTAAAATTCTTGTTTACGTAATCTCGATTGTTTGAAATGAAAATTAAAAGCACGTTTATTTTCATGACTCACTGTTTGTCCCTGCTACTCTCGCGGGTTTTTCTGTGAATGAACACCAGAAATAGAATGTTGCGGTTATGAATGAAGCAACGCATTTGGCTACATACAAGGAAGCTGGATATAGCCACTTTAACGGAGAAAGTAGTCTACTCGGTTTACTAATGGTGTCGTTTAGAGCGATAGCGAATCTTTTCAAATTTCAATACGTTTCATTGGGCTGGGTCATTATCGACCCGGTGGTACTTTAGTATTAAACCTTTTGTGGTCCAAGCGTCCCTGTCAGCTACAGTAAATGTCGAGTGCTCCTCTTTAAATACTCCCGCTAATTTCGAGAAAAAATGTCACAGGTTAAATCCTAATTAATTCCTTAAATATTACTATTATATTCACTAGGTACATGCAACAATTTCTGTCACAAGCATGAAATATTTTATTAACTTCTTGAAGTGCATTTCGTCTTATTATATTAAATATGACGCACAAGTTGCGTCATAATAATTGTACGACGCATCAGTTGTCTTATCTATGACGCACATGGTGCGTCACCTAATAGGACGCACAAGGTATGTCATAGCAATACCAAGACGCACCAGGTGCGTCATTATAGCAATACGAAGACGCACCAGGTGTGTCATTAAATAAACATGAAGATGTATAAGGTGCATCACTATCAGAATTTGCAGACGTGTAAGGTGCGTCATGACAAGAACATGAAGACGCATGTGGTGAGTCATAAGAATATGAGGACGCAAGTGGTGCGTCATGGGAATATGAAGACGCATATGTTGCGTCTTAAAAATATGAAAAGCATGTGTTGCGTTATAAGAATGTGAAGACGCATGTGGTGCGTCATAAGAATATGAGGACGCACGTGGTGCGTCATAAGAATATGAGGACACACGTGATGCGTCATGGAAATATGAAGACGCACATATTGTGTCTCAAGAATGTAAAAAGCATGTGTTGCGTTATAAGAATGTGAAGACGCATGTGGTGCGTCATAAAAATGTGTAGACGCACGTGGTGCGTAATAAGGATATGAGGACGCATGTGGTGCGTCATGGGTATATGAAGACACACATATTGTGTCTCAAGAATATGAAAAGCATGTGTTGCGTTATAAAAATGTGAAGACGCATGTGGTGCGTCATAAGAATATGTAGACGCACGTGGTGCGTCATAAGAATATGAGGACGCACGTGGTGCGTCATAAGAATATGAGGACGCACGTGGTGCGTCATAAGAATATGAGGACGCATGTGATGTGTCATAAGGATATGAAGACTCATGTGGTGCGTCATGAAGACATAAAGACGCACCTGATGCGTCATTACGGTGATAAGTGCAGTGCATGCACGTATTATTAGTAAGACGCACGAGGTGCGTCAATACATAAATAGTAAAATGCACACGATACGTCATATGTTCTCTAGAATAGATAAGAGTAATATGCACAAAGTACATCATAGTTTTTATTTCAATCAGAAATTAGTTAAAATAGAAAGTGTCGAGAAATCGTTTTCCTACTTTCATTTAACGACAGGAACCATCACAACGTTCGACCCAAAAAACGCGTCGAAATATTTCGGCCGGGGACCATCCGTCAGCTCGTTTGCTAATTGCCGCGCCGAATTGTTTGTCAACCGGTTAACCAACCGTTAAACGAACGGATAAACAGGAAGAAATTCAACGTGATAAATCGCGTTTTCCAACGAGCCGAATGCAACGAATTAAGCGTGCTCGAGTAGCTCTCGGAATTATAACTGATGATTGCGACAGCAATTACTTCCATCCAGGCAATTTTAACTTTGATTTTTGTGCCCCTCGCGATTCCGGCGCGTCCATCGCGATGCCTCTTGCAAAATGGGTCAGCTAAAACTCAATTTCACCATGGAAATTGCCGTCTTTTACCTGTCCAACTGTATCCATCCTGAAAACGATACGAAGGAAATTGGTTCGCGTTCAGTTTCCTATCTCTTCATGGCTGCTTCTTATTTCAACGAATCCGGCTTTCTGTTCGTTTGTTCAACACCGTGCAGGGACTTTGTTCGAATCTCTCGCGATATCGAACACTTCGTATCTAACGTTTGTTTATCCTTCGGTTATGCTCCTATTTTATGGAAGAATTTTGAGAATTGACAAAGCGATGCGTGGAATTTGAGTTCGAGGAAAGCACTGAAATACTTGTGTTTATGGAGGATTGCGAATATGTTGAAGGAACACCTGGGACGTTAACGAAGATCAATAATCGAAGATCAATAATCGATTTTAATAATCGTATCAATAAACAAACGATTTTAATAATCCTAAGATCAATAAACGATTTATTTTAATAATTTCTGAGAAGAGAAATTTGTTGAATCTGCCAACTAAAATTATTTAATTGAACTATTAAATTTAATCATGACTAAATTACATCGATAATATCGATATATTCTTATGATAAAATTAGCGATAAAATTTATTGTGATTAAAATTTTATTCTTTCTAAAAAAAAAATGTTATTCTCTCTAATAAAAAATATTCTATGCAGTTGCATTTTGTCGGTGCATCATTCATTTTCCAAGGGCGACTTCCATAAAGCATTACGCGACCTCGAGTATCTTCATATTCTAACGTTTCTGAAACCAAATATTCCTTGCAAAGATTTTAGTACGATCTTTCGTTGCCACTTCGGAATATCATTTTACAGTTCACATTATGCATGTATAATTCACATTATGCACTTATAATCAATCATAGAGTCCATTCTTTTTCGTCACACATAAATCATGTATGATGACTGCGATTAGTTTGACACCTATGAACGTTCGTGAAGCATTGTAAGCGAATTTCCTGTGCACTTGCATACGTTAATAGCAATAAAACTGTTCGCTGTAGCACACAGACGTATGGAAAATTATGGGACTCTACGACTGTGATTAAATCTTTGTTTCAATCACTTTAACATGAAATTTTGCAAATATAAAAATAAGAATCACAAATTGAAGATTTGTAAAGTGGTTGCTGATAATTTTTACGTTTTATACATGTACTTATACATTTGCATTATTAACATATCACATGTGTGCTTCACTAACATATCACACATATACTCTAAAAGTATACAACTCATCGATACAATTCATGTGTAATATAATTCATGAAGGTACCTTCTTATAAATACAATCTCATCTAAATATCACATATGTGCATCACTAATATATCACACATGTGATTCACTAACATATCACACATGTACTCTAAAAGTATACAACTCATCGATACAATTCATGTGTAATATAATTCATGAAGGTACCTTCTTATAAATACAATCTCATCTAAATATCACATATGTGCATCACTAATATATCACACATGTGATTCACTAACATATCACACATATGCTCTAAAAGTATACAACTCATAAATACAATTCATGTGTAATATAATTCATGAAGGTACCTTCTTATAAATACAATCTCATCTAAATATCACATATGTGCATTACTAATATATCACACATGTGATTCACTAACATATCACACAGTACCTAAAAAGTATACAACTCATGAACAACGTAGCAAATATATGAATCGAGGAATTGAGGATTTTACAATTTGTACATTTTTACATTCAGAAATGTACAAATCTGGCACTTTAAGAACAAATTTGGCAACTTGGAAATCAAAAAATTTAAAGACTTGAAAATTAAGAAGTTTGAAAATCTGACGACTTCAAAGTCCAAAAATTAAAAAATCTGACAATTTCAAAGTCCAAAAATTAAAAAATCTGACAATTTCAAAGTTCAAAAATTAAAAAATCTGACGACTTCAAAGTTTAAAAATTAAAAAATCTGACGACTTCAAAAATAATGAAATCAGTCGATTCAAAATTATAAAAATGAAAAGACTCGAAAGTTCGTATATATCTTCCGTTTCCAATCTCAAAATAATCGCGCATTATACGCCGCTCAGTTGAGCGTTAACCGGTCCATTGAATCAGATATTCACCCCATGAAAGAAACATCCTCGTTTGCAGGATCACACAATCCGTATTTGTTCCAGCGAACAGTAACGATCGTTTTCTGGCCCGTAGGTGTAGCCATGAATAATTCACTCGGTTAAAAGGCAGAATATCTCCGACTTTGAGGCAGCGAGAGACTCGGAAAACAACAGCGTCAAGATGGGCGAAATCCTCGGCTCTGCGAGTTTCCTTCACCTGGGAGATATCGTCAGCTTATACGCGGAGGGAAGCGTCTCGGGATTTCTTTCAACCCTCGGGTAAGTTGAATATTCATTCTAAGTAATTAGCATGGTCAAGTTAATTCAGAAGCTTTACATTCGATCAGGATCGATCACGTTCGATCAAGATTGATCACGTTCGATTTTCTCTGAGATCGTTTGGAAAATTTCTTTTACAGTCATAGAATTTTTACGAAGAAGATTTTATCGAACAAGATTATTTCTTGATCGCTATTATTTGCACCAGAATTTCTTCTCCAGTAGACGAGATACTTAAGGGTGAAGTCTGGTGACAAATAAATTCTGGACTGATTTTTCCTTTGGCGAAAAATTGATAGTCCTACTCGATACTATTTATCTTATGTTTTGGTGAGGAGAGACAAGTAGATGGTTTCCAAAAATGTGCAAAATGCGACTTCGTAATACTAGCTTCAAGCCAGAAAGAAATATTTTGTCATACTTTGGTCAGAGATATTCTTTAGACCATATTTAAGAGCCTTATAATTTTGCAATTTTGTTTTAAAAACTTTTTAAAAATTATTTCTATATGTTTTCATTCCTTGTGAAATTTTAACTACCCTTAAAAAATTCCTGTGTAAATTGTGCACATAGTAAAATAATTGTATATTAGCTCGCAAAGTCTGAGGCTATATTCAGGAACGATTCCTCAGCAGTGACTCATTAACGCAGAATAAATGCATACAAAATAATGCATGTATCGTGAGTATTCAGACAGCGTTACAGACAAATCCAAATATTTTTTATCGGAGCAATTCTTCCGCAATGACCCAGTGAGATTGGAAGCACAATAAAAGTTCGAATCGCGTGTGGAACGAACATTAGCTGTAGCTGAGACTAGTGGGGGTGTTCCAGAAAATTGTTTGCTCCTTCAGCCCTTAACCGAGTGTGTTCGAGCACCATCAAAAAGAAACCACCATTAAATGATTCTGTTATCAATTATAATGCACCATCAATTATAATTAATAAAATGAAATTTGTTATACTTCAGAGATGAATGAAGATTTGTGTGACTTTTATATTATTATTTACATGTCGTTGTACTATTTAATATCTTTTAAAACTGCATGAAAGGAAATATGTAGAAAAAGAAACTTTACTTGGAGACTTTTATAGTTTACTTAAAAACTTTATTTAGAGATTGAAATGATTTTTGACCTGCTACGTTATTGATAACATCAAGTCGAAATAGGGGTTGCAGTTTCAGTGTTTATACGCGGCCGCTGTTTGCGAGTCGACCTAATACATGCATCGCTCAAATAACACGGTTAATTAGTTCCGTGTACTCGAAACTAGGTTTTTACTGCAACCAGGTGCTTTTCTTCCGAGTTCACCCATTATACCGGGTGGGAATCGTGGATATAAAATGTCCATTTCTGAAATATTTTCTCATATACATAAAATTGGGAATTTTACCAGTTTGCTCTCGAAGACTACTGACGATGGATAGCAGCTGCAAAATTTCCTAATTAGAAAAATTCTAGATTCAGTAAAAATTATAGATTCAGTTACAAAATGTAGATTTTAACTTTGATAGACTCGACTTGGATTTGACTTTAATCCCTTAGCTTACAAGTTCTTCAGCAGATGTGTCAGAACCACCTAATTATAACTGCAAGGTTAAAATAAATAAAGAATGTTGAAATCTTAAGATATATTTTGCATTTAGATCTTTAATTATAACTGCAATTGGTGTCACACTAAAAATTCAATCTTCCTGTAAAAACAATGTAGTTTCGTTAAATTTCATCCATAACGTGCATCAACCTTGATATTATAGGCCAAAAGGTTAAATTGTGTTAAACATCTCACCCCGTGCAAAGGGTTAAAATATATCACCCCAATTTAAAATACCCACCGACATTAAACGTCTTCCCGCGATCTCGAACCGTTTTATAACATTTTTCCTTGGCTCCTTTAGAATTCGATCTCAAGGGGAATCAAGTCGGTTTCTCATCTGGAACATTTGTTCGGGCTGTTTCCATTTTACGCTCGATAATCCATTTCCCTATTTCCATAATATTCAATTTCGATTGGAAAAGGGAGCAGCCTGTTCGAATAATCTTAATGTTTGGAAGACGTTCGCCATACGTTGCCCTCGAGACGATTAGATATTCAAATCAAACATTGATATCGTTTCCTCTGGTATTTTTCAATACGCTTTCGACGAGCTCTTGGACTCGAGTAGCTGTTCGCTGCATTACATTATTCGAAGGAAATTTTATTGGAACGGGACTCTGTTGCAATCTTTGAGCATATGAAGCAGAAATTAATCTTGTGATTTTTAGTTAGAAAGACACTGATGACATTATTTGAATAAAATTTTATTTCAATGAGATTTTATTAGCGATCCTCAAGTATGTGGTGAAATAGAAATTAATCTTGTGATTTTTAGTTGGAAAGTCACTGTATGATATTATTCAAATGAAATTTTATTTGAACGAGATTCAATTGAAATCTTCAAGTGTGTGATGAACTAGAAATTAATCTTGTGACTTTTAGTTGGAAAGTCACTGCATGATATTATTCAAATGAAATTTTATTTGAACAAGATTCAATTGAAATCTTCAAGTATGTGATGAACTAGAAATTAATTTTGTGATTTTTAGTTGGAAAGTCACTGCATAATATTATTCAAATGAAATTTTATTTGAATAAGATTTGATTGCAATCTTTGAATATATGGTGAAATAGAAATTAATTTTATAATTCTTAGTTGGAGAGTCACTGACGATATTATTCAAATTTTAATTTATTTTGTTGGAGAGTTATTGTGAATCTGACTTACAAAGGTGAGACACAGACATGCCACCTTAACCGAACGGTTAGGTATATGCAACTACTATTCCACCTCCATTACTCCATCACCTGGTCCGATCAGCGAGGGAACTTCACTTGACTCCATCGCTGCCTCAGGAATTTTAATCCTGGTTCCCTTTATTCCACTGAGGTAGAAAAACCCTCTACAGAGTTTAGAGCGCCGTCACAAATGTGGAGATTCAAAGTAAGAACTGGTACAGACAAAATAAGGGACCATTTATGTACATAATGTCAGTAAGCTCTGCTATTAGCATATCCCAGTAGGTAATCAAATTTTTGCGTTTAAAGAAACGCAGAAATAAAGAACAAAGGCATGTACTAGGTCTGTCGTTAGAAAAAGAAGTTAAGTAAGTTTTTGTTTCTGTCTAAAAAGCTTGGTACAGGCAGAGTAAGAAATGTAAAAAGTCGACTACCTATGGACACGTGCTACTAGCTTACAGCTGCAGTGTAAACGGTCCTTAAAAATCGCAAAAATTTGACCACCCTAGCACGTCCTACTAGCTTACTGGTACAGTGTAAAATTTACTCTGTAAACGGTACCTAAGAATCGCAAAAATTCAAAAACAAGTCCTTAAGAAACGTAAAAATTTCACTACTCATTAACCCACGTTATCAACAAACTGGTATAAAATTTAATATAAAGTAAAAAATATGAACGTTGTAAATGGTGTAAACGGTCCTTTACAAAAGAAATCGCAAGCTGTCCATGTCGACCACATCCGACGAATAAATTTTCTCCCCTTGACGCTAACGTCGCACTTGCTATTCTTTGCTCGGCTGTTGTATTATCCGCGCGCTGATGACTTTGGCTAACACAAAGATAGGATGTCGATACGAGGCGGGTAATAAGGCGATCTCTTTGTAATCAGGCTCGTCTATCGTGTACTCGAGTGCGCATACTTTTCAAAGGGTATCTGCTATTGACGTTAATGTGTATATCTTTAAAGGCATTATCGGGGAAAGCATCGCGGAGCGAAATAATCTATCATTACACAGAAACGTTCCTTCCGTATATTGAGATCTTGTGGTTGATGATTTTGATGGTGAGTGGAGTTAAAAGGGTATTTTTGGTGGAAGTTTTTTTTAGGTTGTTTTGTGGAGGTTTGGGTATTGTTTTGGGGGTTGGAAGTTTGGGAATGAAACTTTTGAAGTTTGAGGAATTTGAGAAACTTGAGAAACTTGGGATATTTGAGGAATTTGAGAATTTTGAAAAATTTGAGAAATTTGAAAAATTTAAGGAATTTGAGATATTTAAGAAATTTAGAAAATTGGAGGAATTTGGAAAATTTGGAAATTTGACAATTTTTGAAAGTTTAAGAAAGTGTAAATATAGAAATTTGGGATTCTGTGAATTTTGAAATTTGAAAAAGTATAAATTTGAAAAATCTAGAAATCTAAAAAAATTAAATATCTAATAATTTCTAAATTTCCAATTTTGTTGAAATTTTGCCACACCGAAGACAGCATAAAAGCTAAGAAAGTTGAGAACCACTTCAGGGATGCGAGTTCGTATTTTCCTCGTAGAGCAGGAGGAAAGTAGTGAAATCGAAGACAGGATAAAAATCAGAAAGAGAGGAAAACGACGTAACCTGACTTTTGAGAAATTGCGTATCGTTTCGTAACTTGGTGCAGGTTGCTTCTCATATGTAGAATTTAGTAAACAGGTATATAAAATATTATACACGTACATCCTTATCTAAATTCAATCCACATCTCTTAACTTTAAATTAATTATTAATTACTTTCTAAAAAACGTTGACTCTAAACTCTTGATACATTACCTTAACTACCAATGCCACGATAATAAAAAGATTAAATTAAAAATTAAAATTCAAATTAGGCCACCTTATTTAAAAGTCAAAAAAGGACCAAACATTTTCCCCGCGTTTTATTAAATTCTTAATAAATGCGCGGTTTAATTAATTAAAATTGAAGCTCGGAATACTTCTGCGGGAAAAAGAAACAGATTTTTGTCTGTGTGCTTTAGACGTTCTTATTCGAGGGGAGCTCAGATGCAGGTGATTATGGCACGCTCCTCGACTGCTTAAAAAATGGGTCAGGTAGGAGCTCTTTGCCCACTTCAGTGGCATTTGACGGTGCTTGTCTTAAACAAGATTCAGACAATCGAATGTACGTTCTGTTCGTGCTATTGGTATTATCTCTCTTTGTGGCATTAGCAAAAAGATAAAGCACTTCAAGTG